GAGAGAGAGAGAGAGAGAGAAAGAGATAGAGAGAACCTGAATCATTTTAAGAGTAGGGAAGGGTGGGCTGGCCTCCACAAAGCTTGAAAAACTCAAAGAGTTAAATTACTGTCAGATTCACTATTCAGAATCAGTATCAATTGAGAGACATTGCCGACTACGAGAGGACCGTGATGGCCGATGGAACGAGAAAGGGCTTTCAGACCCTGGCTGATCGGGCGTTGGGTTCTCAACTCTTTCATCACTCATTCTCAGAAGCAAGGAAGCTGGAAAAAAAAAATCATCTAATTAATACTAGCATCAATGGAACTCTTGACATGGTATTTTTTTGAAATGAGTAGTATCAATGTCAAGAATTTTATATTGTATCAGACAAGTCGCTCTGCAGGAAATTCCCCGTACGGCTCATCCCAAGACTCAATCAACAGTGCCAAGCTTTGCTTGGCAGAAGAAAGTGCCAGCCAGAAGAAATAGTTTACCAGTATTTGCCAGTGTCTCCATTCCACCCTCTTCAGGTGCAAACTGGTGTTTAGAGTGCCTAGAAGTTGTGGGCCCAGGCTTCATATGACTGCCACTTCCACCAAGGCTAAGAGATATCCAGTCCTCTGTGTGCACACCATTTGACATATCCCCTCGGTCCCTGTAGTTGGACGGACTATCAGACACAGCACCCGCAGGTTGAGAAGGAAGGAAAAGCTGCAATGATGGATCATCAGCACCAAATGCCAAGGGGTTATCGTCCAAACAGTTGTTCATCATGGTGCTTGAGGGATCATTGGCCACCCCTTGAGGGTCCGAACCTAAGGTATTATACCCATTCATAGGCATGTTCAGGGCAACAACTGAAGTTTGATGGACATCCACCAGCAATGGATCCACAGAGACATCTGGTTCGCTACCAAACAAACGGAAATTCGACGAAGCAGGAGGGCAGGGAGGCATTGGATTTGTCCATAGGTTGGGCATCCCGAAATCATCATTGTTGCTGTTATTAAAGAGACCAAGTGCTCGATCATCAGGAAATGATGTTTCACCTAGCCCACCAGGAGGTGGAATGGTAAAGGGGATGGCACTGGCATCAGCTGCACCTGAACCATAAGCTGTTTCAGGGAACATTAAGGGCACACCTGATGATGGTCTGAGGTCATCATCATCAGAATCACTAAGAACTATGATATCCCCTCCTGTCACCGGCATGGACGATACAACTTTGCTAGTAACGCCACCTCCACATGATGTGGGGTCAAAGTTGGGAGAAATGGGGTCAATATCAATTCCATTGTTCATAGAGAAATCAAAATTTCCTCCACCATCTTGGTTGACGCTTGGATCTTCGCCATCTCTGTTGCTGCCTGTGGCACTGCTAGTCATAGGGATAGGGATCACTTTCTGCAATCGTGATTCAGGTTTCTCATGCACATTATTTGAAGAAGATAGTGGGGGCAATTCATCGGGTCTTCTCAATTCCCAGTGTCCATCGCGATTCCTCTTCCCCAGTTTCAGTTTTAAGCCTGTACGGGTTTCAGAATCAACCTCCTGCTTAACCGATTTCAGTGGTTCTTGGTGGTGTCTTGTGTCTCCATTCGCAGCTGCATAGGGAGAACCATATGGGAAGTGCCATTGCCCCAAACTCTTCAGTTCACCTTCATTCTTTGCACGCCAAGAACCATCAGGCTTTACTTCAATCTCAGTTACATCCTCTCCACAGTCCCTCATCTGCTCCACATTACACAATCTAGAGTTGAACTTCAGAAAAATCATGGAGATGCCTCCTAAGCAAATTATGGCAAGAAAAAAAAAAAAACAAGGTAAGGTTTACCATAGTCGTGATACGGTTGAAATATGGATCAATGATAACGTTTTCCAAAGAATAGTTCTTAAGACAAATAGGACATTGCCACTGCATTCAAAATAACCAGACCCATATCATATCAACAAAAGGTGACAAAATGTCGGAACTGATAAAAGGATAAATTTTTGTTTTATCAGTGCATAAATACAGCAGGATTTGAAAATTGCCCAATCATAATCTTGTAAACCTTCCTAGAACGTTGATTGAGCTCCACAAAGGTATCCAGATCGAAACAGGCCATGTGCACACAAGGCTTGAACCTGCCAGCAACCTTCATCCTAGATCCACTCATCTGCCACAAAATAGCAGTCAGGTGACTTCAAACACATACAACACAACCTAGTTTACTTGGTGCTGGTGAGAGTATATCAAAGAAAAACAATGACATATTAAACAAAATCTCCTCTTTAAATTACTAATATCAGTCGAGTTAATTTTGAACTAAACATATTTATTATATTCCAGTTCCTTGAGATAGGGTGTCAGAGCACAATTGACACTTAACATCAACCTTTCAGTGAAAGTAAGTCAGTATAACATGCATATAAATCACGTTTAAAGACTAAACACTTGCACACACATGCAAGTCCACACACACACATGCAAGCATGCAAGTCCACACACACCTATCGAAAAACAAATATTGGCTGCCCGGCCTATGGAGCTGTATACGGCAGACAGCTCAGATGCATTCCTGGCAGACCCACCAACCAGCACCATGGACACTTTGATTTTTATTTTCTTTCTTGTGGTGACCGAAAATTTTGGGATGTGCGCCTACCATAGGCTCATAAAAAATAATACATTAAAAAACTGACCAAAGTACGATACCAATTGGTGAGCACTGGGCCTCCAAACAATTAATCTGGACTGCCCAAACTGTTCCATAGGCCTGCCAGCCCATAGAAACTGTCACAAATGGGCAGAGATGGATAAAATGGCCTTCCCTCCATTTTAGGGCCCTTAGGGGAACTTCTTTCACCAAGAACAAGCACATGACAAAGAATTTCATGAAAACCCTTGAAAATATTTTTTCTGACACAAGTGCAAGCTGTACATTTCATGGTCAGCTAGATCTAGCCCTTCAAGAACTTGAAATCACTTCTTTAATTGCTCATCTGGTGATGATCAGGCAATAACAAAATTTGGGAGTGCAACAAATTCCCAAGGGCCTCTGTCTAACACAAATTTTTTTTTCCTAAAATGGATAGCATGCATTCCTTGCATTTTCTTTCCATTTTCTAGTTTCATTTTTTAAATGATTTTCATGATGTTCTTCACTGGGACCAAGGGAATTTTGTGCCAAATTTTAAAGCAAAACAAATGCCCATAAGGCCCTGAAAATGGAGGGCGGATACCATTCCAGTTCACCCCTGGGCAGACCAAATGTAATCCCATATATAAGTAAAATTTGGGGTTAATCGGACCCCTACTTTTTCCAAGAGAAAAGAAAAGAAAATGTCCCAACAGGCAATGCTGGCCATTATTATTTTCTAGCTCTCCTTCAATCTGGGTCATCCGGCCCATACTGTTCTATAGGGCAGTTCTTTTTTTGTACCCACACACACGAGCACATGAACACACATATTTCATATATATATATATATATATATATATATATATAGAGAGAGAGAGAGAGAGAGGATCAAGTATAACTGGGTTTAGGTGAATATTCCCCATCAATAACTCTAATAGTAACTGAAATTGAATATCTGATCAATGAAAGAAACAAATCAGTGAAGATGAATCAAGCCATGAGTACCATAAAACAAAACTGTCAAAGGATTTACACAGGATTGTAATGTGGACTTCAACCGAGGCTAAGTAGAAAAGAAAATAAAAAAGGAAAAGGGTAAGTAAAGCAGTAGGATACAATACTGGCCCAGATGCTCCTGTATCAATACTTTTTGGTTCCAATACCAATGCTTCAAAGTGAGAGATACATGACAAAGGACAAGTAGGTTCTACAGAGCCTACTATAGATCCTATGTTGACATTGGCCAATTATTAATTCTAACAGTGTTTACAGTAGAATATCAGATCAATGAAAGAAACTGAACAGTAAAGATGAAATCAAGGGAAAGAAAAAAATAGCAGAATATGGAAGACAACTGCAGCAACTGGATACGACGTTAACCACTGCACATGCTCCTGTACTCATTTTTTAAAGCATTTTAGTTTGGATAACAGTGTGTCCCAACATCTGATGCAAAATTCTCTTGCCTGCCCTCCTGATTCAAACTTGGCCCATCCTCTGACCAAACAAGGTAATTTTCTAGAAGTTTCACTATGATGTAAGACTCAAGTTTCAATTAAGATTCACAAGTTTCAGCAAGATACAAAAACAGAGAGGAACTGACAATGATCAAATCATTTGAATATGGACATATATCAATCATTTGCAGACACTAAAAACATTAGCACATCAAACAAAGAAATGCTACTTTAATATACATGGCCACTTACAGGACACCGAAGATTAACGGTGACAGACTCCGCTACAACTTCCAAATCGCTGTCACTCTGATCAGCATTTTCAGTGGCAGTCCCACCCCCAATGCAACGACAAACACGAGCAAGAGCATCCTCAAATCGCTCACCATCGGATTCCTTTGGCACCAAGTTGAGAACCTGAGCAGCAACGAGAATTTGAAACAGGAAATTTGGAAGAAAGTATGCAATAGACCTGCTTAATATATACGCTATAACACTGCCCCTAAGATTAGATAATTAGGAGGTAAACCATAAGATTAGATAATTAGGAGGTAAACCAGTAAAGAGGACTGCATCTTTGATATTAAGCACATCTACACAAACAAAACACTGCTTCGGCTTAATACTTGCTTAACCAAAACATAACAATAATACCATCTAATATGCCATGCCCAGTATGTCATGGATTACAACTTGCTTCTCTTGTATGGACTTGTAAATGGGGAATCCAAACAGCCACCATATCACAGTTGCACATGCAACTGACTATGTAGCAATTAAATTAACTTATGGAAAAGTCATAAGATATTGGCAACAATATTATGTGCAAAAATTGGGTAACTACGGAAAAACAACTTTCAGTAATCAATAGGCTGGGCAATAAGCAGTGTTCGCAAAATCGAACCGGAACGGTTAACCGGACCCAAACGTGGTTTAACCGGCCTAACCGGTAAACCGGCCGATTCAACCGTTCTAACCGAGCAAGTCCTAGGCGGTCAAAAAAATGTTTAAAAAAAAAAGATACAAAAAAAATACTAAAATATAAAAAGCATATAAAAAATGATTAAAACAAAACACATTCAAATGAAGTTGAAAATTAATAAATAAAAAAAATATTTTAACAAATCGATTTGTGCCTAGGGTATTTTAAAATTTTATGAAAAAGATGGGAAAATAAAAAAGTGAGTATTAATAATCAAAACAATTTTTAATCTTTAGCATAATGTAAAGAATATTGAAAAAAAAATGTATAACAAACCAAATTCCATATTTTTGGGAATTTATATTACATTTTTATGATTTTTCTTTTTAAAATACCGGTTGATCACCAAAACGACCCAAAACCGGAACCGGCCACTGACCGATTCCGATCTAACCGGGTGGTTAGCGGTTAGAATCGCCCGATTTTTCCAACAGTGGCAATAAGTAAGCTAGTCATCGTCATACCTCACACAAGAAATTAAATATGGAGCAAAGAAATAATAACTCCAAGCAACTAAATAATCAGAGCATTCAACTGAGAACATAGATGCTTATTGCATACAATATTGCAGAAGCCAAAGACACGCATAATATCTTCAGAAACCTTTACATGCAAGAGGTATAGCCCCCGTGCTGCCAGAAACATTAAAACTGTGAATTACTGAATCTTTTCCACTATTACGTTTCAATCACTCCAGTAGCTCACAATTTAAAAAACAAAAACAAAAAAACTCTAGTCGCTTTGTCTTCTAAGTACTAGAACACACTGAACATTTGACAGAATCACGTTTTTACCAGGATGTGAGGGAAACCAATAGGATTTATCTATGTGGCAATATGGATCCACGCTCCATGAATTCAGGGTAATTAGTTCTACCTAGGCAATACAGGAAAAATAAGAACTGAAACTGTCATGCCCATATACAACCATTTCTTTATAAATGAGACCCTCTAAAAGCTATGAAGGTCTGTAAGTTTGAAGGTAGAAGAGTTCTCTGAAATGAAACATTTTCATTAGAGATTCCAATATCTCATAGCTACACATTCACAAAACTTGCAAGAAATGGAACATGAGTGTGAATGGTGATAATCCAAAAATTCCCACAGAAAGCATCCTGGTCCTGTGTTAAACGAGCATTGTTTTCCCCAAACAAGAATAAGAGATTATTTTCTAACTTCAAAAAGTTCACCACTCCATACATAGCAGAAAGTTGTGGCTGCAAATATATACAAAAAAGAAAGAATAATGATTTCAATCCTAAAATAACAAGCACAAGTTTTCTGTGTCTACTTCTGTTGAGCTATGGTCCGCCAGAACTAGATCAGCCTGAAAGCAACTTTCCATGATCAATACAAAATTTCACTGATCATGACTTCGAACACCTTTCTTATACGGAGGTAAAAGGTTCAGTGCATACCCCAAATTCCCAAAAAGCGTATAAAGTTAAAAAGGGAAGCACTGAAAAAGTTAAAACTTATATGATAAATTTTATAATGTAGAAAAAAGTGCATGAAAAAGGATGCAAAAAATATTTAATGTTCTTTGGCTAGATCAGTTTCCTGGCAATTTGATGTATAAATTCATAGCATAACAAATATTGTATGTCTTTAAGAATGAAAGAAAAGCTAAGGCACACACCACAAGAATATTAATCAAGAGTGCACTAGCGGGCATACGCACACATGTGCACACGCACACACACACGAAAAAAAAATTAGTAATTCTGAAATACAAACATTTTTTGGTGCGTATGACCTCATCCATATTACTTATAGAAAAAAGCTACCTGGTTTACAGTTCTCCGTCTTACAATTCTGACCCCTAAACAGAATGGGCGTGCATCACAAGCCGAAAGAGTAACCCGATTTGTCCCCTCCTTGCTGCATGACGTAATCTACAAAGAAAAGAAATCATCAGAAGATATGCTTCCATGCTCCCACACAAGTATACCCACACACCCATTTATTCAACGAGCACACTGGAAAAACACCTAATTGATCACCTGGACATAGAGATGTATGGATATGGAGAAAAGATAAATTTCAAGTCCCAAAAATAGTACAGCTTGCAACACATTATCTGGACCGTCCATTTTCAAGATTTTTCATGGTCTAAGAAGGGTGAGGACCTTAAACTTTACCTCCCATGACAGGGTAAAAGGGCTGGGTTGTGTTAAGTAGGCAACCAACATAAAACCTTGCCAAAGCTTATCATGAATCCTAAACCTACAGTATCTATTTATAGACCACAATGGCGGACCAAGATTCATGTAGCCGACCCCAATTAGTTGTGAAAAGGCTTTGACGACGACAATGATGATACATCTGCTTGATTGAACCATTTTTTTATTTTAAAATTTTATAATTAGATATGAAAATAGATTCTTGTGCCATCCTAGGCACCAAAATTGTATCTTATGATGAAGTTTGGAAGTGCACCTTACTTTGAGTGTTTGAGGTTACAACCTTATGCAATTATATATAAATATAATATATATATATATATATATAGGGGAATGATCCTATGCATTTTAGATACACCATTATGTGGCGTATTGGAGTATTTTTTTCCATTCCTTTAAAAAATACCTTTTACCTCCCCTCTCTTTTCTTTTAACGCTATTTCCTCACAGAGAAGTGAGCCCCTTCTGTCATCAGGTTTGCTCTCTCTTTGAATCTAACTCTTTCTCTCTCTAAATCCAATGCTCTCTTTCTAATGGTAAAGAAACCCACAGTCTCTCTACTCGTCTCTCTCTAACAGCAAAAAGCTATAAATGCATCTCTCTCCAACATCAACAAAAAAACATGTAATGATTTTTTCCTCTTATATTATTCACCAGTTTCTCTATCTTTTGTTGCAGAAGGTTGTCCATCTTCACTCTAACTTTGTCAACGTTTCTCTCTCTAATACTGCAAATGGTTTTTTTCCTCTTTAAAGCTGAAATTGTGTTTCCCCTCGTAGGATGCGTTTCTTTCTCTAACACTGTAAATGGACGTCTTTTTCCTGCAAATGGTTTCTCCCTCCTCTGTAATTTCTTAGGAGAAAGTAAGAATGAGATAGCTCAGGTTCCTTGTTCCCCATAATTATCGAGGCAAAATCTGGGTCATTGTGATGAACATAATCAGCCACCCTTGAATTGCCCTGTAATAAAGTCTCTGTGGTTGAATTCCAACAGACCAAGGTACAGTTTGCGATCCTTCGGTCAAAGTTGGCCACTTTGGTATTAGAATCAAGAGGGATTGAATAAGAACCTGAGGTTCCAAGCATTTCTTCATGACATTTAGCCTCACAGAGAGCAACCTTTCCTTTCGAAGTCTGCTCATCCCATTGATCTTGCCAAGTCCTTCTGATGTAATCTTCATCAATTCATTCCTGAGTACTCTTACAATGTGGTTTGCATCCTTGAGCTGAGCCTTGAGTTCTTGAATCATCTTTCTCTATCCGGGTGACACCCTCTCTGCTCCAGCAATCTTGGAGACCATGGCTTGCTTGAAGCGAAGGATCATAGAGAGAGCCTCTTCTTTGTGGCTGCCAAGTCTTGACAAAGGCGCAGACCTTATGCTCCGAGATCAGAATCCTTGCAGCTGCTCCTTTAGCCATGCCGTGGAGTATATCAGAAGAAGCTTGGTTCAGAGCCGCATCATCTGTGGCTCCATCTCCATAGCTTCGGTTCTCTCTCTCTCTTCTTCTCATTTAGAAAACAAGATCATTAAGCACAGAAGGCGGTGGAGGCTTTTTAGGGAGGAGAGAGAATAAGACGGAGGGTTTTTAGGGGGGGAGAGAATAAAAGGGTTTTTATGGGGAGAGAACAAGATGTGGGGTTTTTAGGGGGGAGAGAGAATAAGACAGAGGGTTCCAAAAGGTAGAAAAATCAGGGGAAAAAGGTAAAAAGTAATAGGATAATAAATTACAAAGTGAATGGTGCCTGGGATTTTTAGATATCTAGAATGGACGGTTAAAAATTTAGATACACTCTAACCATTTATATCTATAATACACAGGATTATTCCCCAGG